AATGTTTGTGTTGTATTCGTGTAAAATCAAGCGAGCGTCGAGCGAATTTTGGCAGCACGCTTTCCTACCTGCTATATATTTATGTGTCAGTGTGCAGCAGCTAGCGTGCGGTGTACTTGTGTGTTGCAGATGAGCATTTGGCCGCCATTTACGCTGAGAGGGTCTATGTCCCCCGGGGTACTGCCGGAACGTACCCTGGGTACGATCCGGTATACCGGAACGTACCCTGGTACTATCTAATATGCCAAACCCTTCCTCGCCAACTCCACTAACGAGTCTAGGGAGTCGCTTACGCCTACTCCTAACCCTATCAGATAGTGACCAGGGTACGTTCCGGTATACCGGACCGTACCCAGGGTACGTTCCGGCAGTACCCTGGGGGACATAGACCCTATGTCACTATGAGCGCCATTTACAGGTGATTATAGGCGAAATAGAGTAGAGAAACATTAAGACTTTGGTAGTAAATACATTTCGTGTTTATTTACCTTTTTTTATTGAGACGTTCCAAGTGCATGTGCCTGTGGTTAGGATTACGATTAATGTGAAACAGATTATGGTTATTAGGCCCTACGACTAGCGGACTACGTATCATCGCATGAACAGCTCTGACAGACCGTGCACCCCTTCGTCTCCCCCACACAATGCTATACATATTTGTATGATGGAAACCGATAGGGAAACACAATAAAAGTCAATATGAAACTTACTGGAAGCTCGACAGTCATATCAGTGTCATCCAGCAGTACTACTTTGCACACCAACAAATGCTTCGATTTACTTGTCGAGTGTGACGAACTTGATCGCGGTTTCTGTCGATCTCTTGATCGTCTACTAAAGAACCTAAACATTTTATTACCGAAATTAACTGGCTCTATTGAATACACAGGCTTTGTACTTATTGAAGGCACCTGAGCTCAAACTTAAGACACAATATAGACAAGCATTTGTTTAGAAACATAAACACTTGACACCAACATTTCTCTTTGGGTATGCCAAAAGGCAATAATTCCGATCTTAATTATTTACGACTTTTAACGGAACTAGCCGAATCGACATTGGCTACGTAAATATTCTGAACATTTTAAAAAACTGAACAAAATGAATAGTGAAAATGTACCAATAATAACATAATTTAATGTTTTATTTATTGCATAGCATTTCAAATACAGTATAGAGACTTCAAACTTCACATAAAAAATATTTCAATGATCAGCGAACCCGGAGGCATATGTTCAGGGAGGGTCCTACTAAACAGCGAAATGTGCTACTAAACAGCGAAATGTGCTAGAGATACACATTGCCGTCTGTTTTTAGTATTAATCATTTTTGTTTACACACATTTTGTACATTGCGGCAGTGGTATTGATTGCAATTGGCACGCCACATTCGGTAACACATTTCGCTGTGTTAGCAGCACATTCGCTGTTTAGTATTAACATTTTTTACACATTTTGACTACATTGCGGCAGTGTATTTGATGCACATTGCGGCCTACAATACTTACCCCATTCCCGCGCACATTCCGCTGTTTAGTAGGCACATTCCCCTTTTAGTAGCACATGTTCGGCTGTTTATTAGCGCACATTTTGCTGTTAGTAGCACATTTTTTAACACATTTTGATATATTGCGGCAGTTATTGATGCACATTGCGCCACATTCTTGGCACATTCCTGCACATTTCGCGCACATTCTTGCAGCAAATTCGGCGCACATTCCTGCACATTCTTGCACATTTCCGCGCACATTCCTGCACATTTCGCTGTTTAGTAGCACATTTCGCTGTTTAGTAGGACCGGTCAGGGGTGCCATATTTGCGTCAGGTTCGCACTTCGCACACATCTCTCAGATCTATGCATCTCTGTCGTCTGCACTGATCTCTATAATGTAATCTATATCTATATCTATAATCTATATATATATAATCTATATCTATAATCTATATATATATAATCTATATCTCTATAACGATTATATTATAGAGATCAGTGGACGTCTGACGTATGCGCGCAGGAGCCTATGCGGCATGCCTGTATTTTGTTTCATAATTCGATTTTTTGTTTTATGGTTGATTTTATCAGCATATAACATTCACGATCGAATCATTCGATCCGTGGATCGAAATAGAGAAAGAAGACGAGGTGAGTATATGAAGAGGGGACAAAGGTGGTACACCGTACAGGTGGAAGGATAGACCAATAAATTGTGCGCCTACAAATTTTTATATCTGATGTTATTTATCCTAACATAACTCAGAATATAAAAATGTTTAGGGCACAAATTTATTGGTCTAGAGGAAGGAGAGAAGGGTAGAGGACGAGGGAGAAGGTAGTGGGGGAGGAGGAGGGGAGAAGGGAAGGAGTAGAAAAAGGGACAGGAAGGAGGTAGAAAGGGTACAGGAAGGAGGTCGAGGAGGAGGGTAGGTGGTCGAGGAGAAGGGTAAGAAGTGGTCGAGGAGGAGGGTAGAAGGTGGGTGGGGAGGAGGGAGGAGGTAGAGGGGGAGATTGTGGTGGAGGGGAGGGGGAGTTTGGGAGATAGGGGGCAGAGGAGGTAGTGGAGGGGAGAAGGTGAATAGGGAAGGAGGTCGAGGATGGAGGAGAAGGTGGAGGAGGTAGAGGAGAGGAGAAGGTAGAAGAGGGAGTAGGTAGAAGATGGTGGGAGAAGACGGAGGAGGAGAGGAGGGGGAGAAAGTGTGGAGAAGGGGTACAAGGTGCTGGGGGAGAGGTAGAGGGGGAGAATGTGGTGGAGGGGAGGGCGAGTTTGGGAGATAGGTGAGAGAGGAGGTAGTGGAGGGGGAGAAGGTAGAAGAGGGAGGAGGTCGAGGATGGTGGGAGAAGGTAGAATAGAGGGAGAAGGTAGAGGATGGTGGGAGAAGATGGAGAGGTAGAGGAGGGGAGAAAGCGGTGGAAGAGGGAGGGAGGAGGAGGAGGAGGGAAGAATTGTGGTGGAGGAGGACGAGGAGTGGGGAGATAGGGGAGAGAGGAGGATAGAGGAGGGGGAAGAAGGTAGAAGAGGGAGGATAGTGGGAGAAGGTGGAGGAGGGTAGAGGAGAGTGGGAGAATGTGGAGGAAGTAAGGAGAGAGAAAG